GTGTGTGTGTGTGTGTGTGTGTGTGTGTGTGTGTGGTCTTACCACAGTTGAGCTCATCACTCAGGTCTCCACAGTCGTCATAGCCGTCACACACCAGAGCGGGCGAGAGACACCGACCCGTGTTACAGTGAAACTCGCCATCTGCACACACTGAGAGAGAGAGAGAGGGAGTCACATGATCAGCACTTCTTCTTCATGTGTTTTTTCTTTTATCTCATGTTAGATATTTATTTTTCTTCACAATAATAATCACGTTCCTGAGAGAGCACAGAGTAAAAAAACAGAAAAGATGTAATGGAACATTTTTTAACAATCCACCTTTTGAATAACTTTTTTTGTCAAATCTTGAAGCTTTTCAGCAGCAACGTGCTTCATTCGACTGTGTCCCAGCCGTTTTTCACGTTTTTGACACTATTCTGACTGATTTCTTTATTTTGTTTCCTCTTGTTTTGTTTCTGGTTTCTGTTTTTTTGTTTTTTTTCACGTTTTCTTTTCTTTTCTTCACATTTATGAATGGTTAAGTCTGGCCTCTTGTGCACTTTCTTTTGTCTTTAACCTCTTAAAACCCTAAAAATTATAAATAGTTCTAAATACTAGAAGATGTAGATTTGAAATCAGCTCTCTCGTGTGCAGTTTGTCTGTTATAACATTTCCATAGGGAAACAGGTAAAGACTCCAAATAGAGGACGTGAACTTCAAACTAACAGGAGACCTGATGAATATTGAAACTGTCTCATGTTTAATCTTCTCGTCTCTCCTGTCCTCTTCAGTTCTTCCTGTTGTGTTGGTTTCTCACTTCGTAGCTGTTTGTCGTTCTTCCTTCGTTCGTTGTCATGTGTGACTTTTACAGCCACATAAACCTCTGCTGGTTAAAAGCAGGCTGGGCTCACAAAAAGGGAGAGAGACATTAAAAGACAAAGAGAAAACTCTCTCTCTCCCCTTCTGCCTTTCTGATAGTCGCTGCCTATAGATTCTCTATATTACCATGGCAACCACCTTTCTGTGACAGAGCGACCATACCACTGTCATCCACTCAATCACCTGCAAACACCATGACGACGGGCTGAAA